CTGAATTATTTAAAAGCTGGTCTACTAAAACTCAGAAACATGAACTTTATCACAGTGAGATTATAGTTTTTATGTTTACCTTTTTCACAATTCCATTCTATAATTTCTTTTATCAATGAAATGAGACCTTGACAGTCATTTTGTTTCTCGGACCTTGTGTCTTTCATAGAAAGTAATGTTAAACTAAATGATTATTAAAGGTTTCCGGATAGTATTTGATTATGAGATTTTAGCCTCATGCCACAAAAAGAAGTAACCATTCACAGGAACAGGAATAAAAGCTATGGGATCTGGATTGCATTGAAAAGCATTTAAAAAGTGGGAAGCATAGGGGGCTATATCTGATGCAGATTCCAACACACACACACACACACACACACACACACACGTTATATATATCTGCTTATCTATCTGAATGTAATTTTTTCCAAAGGATTACTAACTTTAGTCAGTTGTTTACTTCTAGTCCCAGGGAGAATGCAGAATTTACTAAGCATAAATAATAACAATAAGAAATGATATTTTTTATCTCATAAACTAAAAGGGCACTGGATAAGTAACATGACAAAAGCAATATTCTGTTAGGGGATATTGACCTGTGATACAAACATGGAGAGTGTTCATATAAAGGCATCTTTGATTACCCATATTCCCATTTCTTTCTAGTCCATACCAATTGAACAGCTTTTAGAGTAATGATTTTGGATAAAGTCCTGTTTTAAACTATTGAATTAAAAATCATAGGGAGATTTTATTATTAGCATACTTCTAAACTCCTGATATGTGGAAAGAACCCAAATGATGAATGTTTAAAGCACATCTAGAGACTCAAGTTTTCAGATATGTATCTGCTGCAAATATGTAAGTGTCCTCTGCTTTTCCATCCAATTTCACAACTCCATGTGGATGAAAGTGCAAGCTCTCCATGTGCCCTCTCATTTTGTTCCCTGCTTTGAAATTATTCCCAGACTGCTTTTTCAAATAACCATTACTAGATCCTTCCGAGGATGTAAGTGACACCTCACCCTCAGGGCCAGTTACTGTGAAGTTCCTGAAGCCTCTTCAACCAGCGGAGAGCATTTCCTCTTAACTCTACACCACAACTTCGACTGTTAAGAAAAGATAGGTATGCTTCCAGGAAAAAGGGGAAACTTGGTACTTCATCATTAATATTTTGATCATCAATGCCTGTAAACCTTATTTTATTAATGCTGGTTTATGTCCCATTATTTTGAACTCAAATATTATATTAAACTTTTGCAGAAAAAACTAAAAAGAAAAATTTCTGAATTTAACTGGGATTTCCGAATTTATCTCAGTATTCAAGGGGCAATGGTCATTTCTCCAGTTTTGCTGATGGCCGAACTCAAAGTATTCACTGAGGTACTGGACACTTACTAGATACAATAGTGTTGTGAAGCACAACACACTTCAATAAATAAATAATGGCATGCTTTAAGTAGATTTAAAATAAAGATAGGAATTAAAAGTTCAAATGTATAAGTATCTTACAAATCATCCTACACACACACCCCACTACACTTACACATACACATACCACACTCATACGCACTCTCAAACATAGATATGCTCACAAACACACATACAGATAAACACACATACCACATACACGTACACACAAACACACATATACAAGCAGATAAACACACACACACACTCACTGTCAAAAGCAGATATAGTCACATATACTCACATACAGGGATACACACACACACACACAGAAACACACACACACATACATATAAGCAGATACATGGACACAACCACACACACTCACACTCACACACACATACACTCTCAAACACAGATATACTCATATATACTCACATACACAGATGCACATACACACATATACACAAGCAGATACATACACTCAGAAGTAGATTTGGGATTACATGATAGCATTTTACAAACTGTAGATCTCAGATCTATATAGATCTAGCCTCACAAACGTAGATCTTCTCAACATCACAGTACCAAATATGCCCAAGTCAAGGGGCAGATTTTCTTTTTAAACACTCCTCTTATTTTCAGATAATGTTTGCTCTAAACTAGAAAAGCAATTTTTTTAGTGAGGAGAATTGCATCATAGGCTTCAAGTATACTGAAAATAACAATTTTCAAGTCACAAAGTGGTACCAGTACCATATTTGATATGCACATTCTCCGCAAGTCTGGTATAGACCCCTTCTACCACCACACTGTGACATGTGTTCTAATATTAGGATGGTCTAATTAGAGTAAATATTTTGGGTGGAGTCCTTTGCTTCCATGGGTTATGATATAATGCTGATTCTGAAATGATGGCAGGCATGTAATGAATGTGTGCGTGTGTGGACTAGCAAGTCTCAACTAAAAAGGGCTAAGCAAAGCTATTTCAAGGTCCTCAGAAGGGTGGGGCCAGTTTTGGCCCAAGAACCATATTTCTAATCTGGTAAAGGTGGAGCCTCTTGTCTCAGCCCTGCATTTCAGACCCACACAGTAGCTGATTCTACTAAGTGAGCACTTGCACCCTGTCAGTCTATAGGAATCATTTTAAGTATATTATTTCCTTTCTTCCTCACTTATTGGATAGGTATGAACCAGGGAACATTACTGCCTAAGAGCGCCGATTCTCAGTCTGATTGTGTCTTTGAATCACACTTTTGCTACTTTTGTGCTAAACAACTTCAGACAAACTCAGCATCTTCATCTGTAATTTGGGGGTAGACAGAGAATGCCGCTTAACAGCTTATTAAGAGCTCAACTATTTCTCGCTCTTATTAATATCTTCCGTGTTTTCAAGGGGGAAACAGAGGCTTGCAGATAGCAATTGTGTCCACAATCAATGTAGTTGGCAAATGATCAAAGCAGGAAGTGGGCCAATGTCTGTGTGACATTTTATCTGCCCACCCACTATCCTGGACTCCACTTTAATAAAAATTATTGTTTCACCCATTAACATAATTGGTACCTTACTAAAACATCTACTTTTAGAAAGACAAAACACTGAAGACAACCACAGTTATATTTTGGTTTTTCAAATAACCATCTGTGTCTTCAGAGCTGGGATTCTAATTCCCGGCAGAGGCCTTCCTATGGGAAGAGAAGGTCTAGTCACTTGCCTGAAGTACTCTGCCTTCTAAACTGCTCTTTACACATGCTTCGGAGGCATGGGCTCAGAACAGTCTGCACACTTTGCTTTGGATTCCCTTGGCTTCCATTTTGTTCTTGAGCACTCCTGTTTCAATATTTCCTCACTACGTGAATTCTTACCATTTCAGGTACAGTGTCACACCTGTCAATCCAATGCAACAGAACTGGCGACTTTGTCAGGTACTCATGTCTTTATGTCCCCTATAGTCAGATCCACCGTTCTCTTGAATGTGTAGTCATTTATCTCGCCATCCCTCCTCATACTGGTAGAACATTTATACTAAAACAAAAGCTAAACCCTTAAATGCCCTCTTTTCCTTTACTAGAGAAGTACTTCCTCTCCCCCTTAATGAATGAGGAGGGGTACTAGCCCTGATTCACACTGACCGGAGGGAAGCTTCTCTCGACAGGTCTGCACATGTACATCACTATTTAGTTAGAAATGTCTCCAGAGCTATGGCTTCTAGGATCTCTTAGGCCAATAAAGGTAGGATCTCAGACGGCTGACCACATCTCTTTCCAGTTCAGCTGCTTCCTGAAAACTATTGCATCTGCATTCAAAACCTAAGTTTCCTGACTCTGAAAGCCTGGGAGGTATGGGAGCCTTGACTGCCTGAACCTCCCAACACACAAGTGCAGTTTGGAGAGGACACAGGCAGCAAGAGGAGCCTTTCCTTTTACGGAGATAGGCAGGCCTGAGTTCTAACTTGGCAGAAGATTCATTAGGAAAAAGAAGGTCCTTCGATTTAGATCCCAGTTTCTAATGTCTCTTGGGAGATGAAGGCTCTCCCTGTATGCTTTCACAATCTGTTATGGCCTCTCCCCTCCATGGCTTTGAAATCCTCTCCTATTCACATGGTCAAAAGGACACAGCCCTAAGGCAGCATGGCAATGCTTCCTGGGGTCTGGGTTGGCTCAGTGCCATCCACAGAAGGGCTTCCAGCATTAGTCAGGGCAGCCCTTGGATTCACAGATGCCCACCACTTGGCTGAACAACAGCCCCACGCAACCTTCCTGTCCCCAAATAGCCTTTGCTACATTAATTGCATCATTGATGCATTAAAAAAATTAAGTGGCCTTTTCATGCTAAGGCAGCCATTTGAAGGAGAAGATATTGAAGGCTGGTCTTTGTGACCACCACTGATAACACTTCTTTTATTTCTAGAGTTATGTCCTTCTGAGCAATGAGGCGCATGTCTAGTGTGTTTGTAAAGAGTCGTACTTTGCTTCACACTTTTATGACATCATTTTCTAGAAAGGACTGGAGACAAAAGATGTCTTAAAGAACAAGGCTAGTTCAACTTTTCCTTTTGTTAGTTTCTAAAACACCAGGAGCCTTTGGAAAAGGGCAGTCTTGGTTGGAGCAAGAGAAAACAAATCCTTCAAATAGTTAGCTCACTTCCACGAAGAGTTAATAAACAGCCACTGAATTAATTTGCCCTGTCCAGTTAACAGCTGCAGCCACAGCCCCAAGTTCCTAATGAAAAGAGACAAATGAATTTGTCTACAGTGGGGGCCTGCACCTGTTCAGCTTCCCACCAAGCGCAGCTAGGTGCCCACTGACAAATGTTCCCAGCATGCCAGGCCCACAGGCGTTCCCTGAAGGACAGGTAGATTCTAATCCCCATGGGCACATTTCATAGTTGCCTGTAGCAGGCGGCTGGAAGACAATGTGGTGGTGGTGGTGGTGGTGGTGGTGTGTGTGTGTGTGTGTGTGTGTGTGTGTGTGTGTGTGTGTGTGTGTGTGTGTGTGATGCTTGACTGGCCATACAGATAGGAAGATGGCCGTGAGAGCCTGGAGGACTGAGATCAAGTGTGTGGAGGGCTTCCATCCGGACACTAACCTGGAAGATGAGCACTTTGAAGTGGTTGCGTCGGAGGAGTTGGGCGTGGTTGTTCTCCAGACGCTTCACCTGCATGCACTGCCTCTCCAGGCGCTCTCGAACTGCGCGCGTGTGAGCGCTGACCTTGCGAGACTTCTCCAGCAGCTTGTTGACTGTGTTGCTGGTGGAGGCCTGGTACTTGGAGAGCTTGTTGAGGTCATTCTGGATGCCCTTCACCGAGCCCTCCAGGTTGATCTGCCGCTGCTCCATGTTGTGTTGGTTCTCCCTCACGGTGTCCAGCATGTTGACTAGCTTATCCAGGAGTGTGTGTACGGTGACAGCATTCACCTGCGAGTTGTCCCTGATGGCCTCGTCTGTGGACCCCAGGTTCAGGCTGGGGCTCGGTGTGGAGGAAGGCATCGGGCTGGGGCTGGATGGCTTCTCCTGGCGCATGTCAGCATTTGGGTGCTGGAACTTTTCTGCTTGTGCAGCGTCCTCTCCCATGGCTCTACAGATGGGAACTTACTTTCCCGCTGGAAGTTTCTTGCTCAGGCAAGAAGTGGGCTGGGGTGAAGAGCGCAGGTCCCTTGGTCTGAACGGAGCAGTTCTCTAGGGCTAGCAGAGGTTCAGACAGGGAATAACTGGCTAAGCTAATCAGGGGAGCTGCATTCCAGCTGCTCTTAAAGGCCCTACTCCGCCCAGTGGGAGGCAAAGGTTACAGGACCCACTGAGGGTTCAATGACAAGCACACACTTCCTAACCACATTCCCTACAAGCCCGGGCTCTTTTCTGCCTTCGCTTTTCTTTCCTACACCCCTTCCCTTTTTAAAACAAGTTCAATGCCATATTTCAATCATGAGTTCATTTAGAGGCGGGGAGAAACATGTTAACTTGGCTGCGCTTCCCAGCCTCTGATTGGCTAAAGCTAGTAAACTTTCCTCTGGCTGCTATGTTACAGAGCGCCTGTTTTTTTTTTTTTTTTTTTTTTTTTTTTCCTGGATACCAGTTATTGTAACTGAAAGTTTTGTTTGCTCTTTTCCCGGGGCTGACTGATAGGTTGCAGAACACCGAGTGCCCTTCTGGGAGGGGTAGGATTGAAAGGGTCTGCTCAGCCAAGTTTGTGGTATTCGTTTCTTATTTGCAAAGGAGTGGAAATTACACTGATAATGAAAAGGAAAACAGCCCGGTGTGTCCTACTCTGGCAAGAGAGGATGCAATCCAACTTGAAAGAGCTTAGACTTAGGGACATTAAGACAAGTGGCGTTGCATGCTGTGAACTGTTACATAAGAGCTGGGAATCTTTTGAATGAATACTATCTTTAGAATCACAGACTTCGTTTTTTTCCTACTTTTTCTTTCTTTCTTTTTTATTTTTTCTACTTTTTAAAAGATGGAAATAGGAACCCCCTCTCCCCAAGAAGTCTCTTTTAAAAAGAGAAAGTGCAGATTTGTTTCCACTAATTCTGAATTCATGCTGAGAATTTCTCCATTCCCATCTTTGACGAAGCATTTATTGACACAGCCCAGAGGTGTGACTGTGGGCCAGGTTGAGTTGGAGTGGTTCTAACGCTTGATGTCTCCAGATTCCTGCTCAGTGAAGTGGCACACCTGTTCTCACATGTGGCTCTCCTTAGCCCTGCCTTTGGGATGTGGGGCTTGTTTCCTAACACGACTTCGTATACTTGAATTGGTATTAGATGTACCCAGACTGTGAAAGTGCTATTGGCAGGAAGTTTGTGAGAGGCCCACTATGAAGGATTTCAAGAACAAAGGCCAGCTCGTCCTGGGTCAGGACCTGATCATGGGACAGTGCCTTTCTTAATGGCAGTATCTCCATGCCAACCAATGAAACAGTGGCTCTGTGGTAGCATGGTCATTGGGTCCCTTATTCTTGGCTCTATGAAGTGTGCAGGGAGTATCCTTAGAGCATGGCCAGGAGGCTGCTCCAATGAGTACCTGCTCATGAGGAAGACACATTAACGACACTATAGAGGCCCCCAGTTTTCTCAGATAAGTTACCCCTCACACCCACAATCCACAGAAAGTGAAGCCTTTAGGGATAGAGATTTCAAAATGCCAAAAGAAGATTTGATTGGAGTTTTGCCTTTTCAGAAATTAAGAAAAATTCTTTAAAAAGCTTATGTTTAGTACATTTTAGTTGGACAAAGGTGTTAAATATTAAAACAAAAAATGAATCTGGTGTTGATTTTCAAAAGCTAAATTTTCTAACAAAATTACATGGTATCATGATATCATGTCCTTTTTGCATTTGACTTTTGTGGGCAAATCACAGTGTGTCATTATTTCAAAAATATTGGAGCGCTTCATCAGTTTTCCAAGGGCCTCTCTTAAATAGTGACATTCAAATCATTCCCTCCGAAGCTCTGCTTGTGCTGTCACTCATCTGGGTTTCTTCTCCCGAATGTTAACTGTTACAGCTGCAGATTCCCTTCTGTCGTAGGAACTGTCCATGACTCATGGGCTCCTCCGACATTACCTTCATCAATTTCATGATTTCCTATTTTGAGAGATTTGCAATTTCACATTATAATCACTTCACTCTGATTTTGCATTGATTCACACAAACTTTGCATTGCATTGTTGGATACGGTATAATCAGCTAGATGAATTAGAGGGGTGGGTGTGAGATAGGAAAGCACAGAACTCCTTGTAAACAAGAAGGTTGGTTTGTAGAATATTTGTTTGGTTGAGATGGGTTTCACTCTGTAGCCCAGGTTGATCTAAAATTCAATGCAATCCATCTGACTCAGGCTTCCTAGTGCCAGGATTGTAGGTGTGAGCCTTCATGCCTGTCTCTGTACTCGTTATGTTCTATGTTAATCTTGAATAACACAAATGATGTATCAACAGCCTATGGCTTTGTAACAAACCAGCCTAAGACTCTCAGTGGTTTATAGTAACAACAATGTCACTTACTCATACTCTGGTTGTTTGGACAATGCTCAACCGGTACAATGATCTTTGCCCTTCTCGTTCATTCAGCTGCAGTTTGAGTTGAGGAATGGAAGATGGCGTGACCTTAGACTTACCTGGTGCCATTGCTGAGCTGATGAGAACACCAAGATTTCTCTCTTTTCAACTGTTTAGGTTCTAGAAGCTCTCTGTCTAATCTTTCTAGCAGGGAAACCAAACCTCTTTATGTGGTGCCTTCTGCATATCCACAGTGTTCTATAGCATGAGCAGGCCACAAACCCAGTTCAGATTCAGAGGATGGGAATCTGACTACCAATTTATGAGACAAACAGCAATAACCTGTAGCAAAGGATGACTGTTACAAGAGAGACTGCTGTCACCATCTTTGGACATGATCTACAATGGTACAAATGCATTCTCCAAAAAGGCTGTTGTACATAAAACTGAAGGCTTTGGTCATTGTGCAAATTATGAGAATCTATCTAAGGGAAACCCTTATGTCCTTTACAAAAGAAAAAAAGAAGAAGACAGAATGTGTGTGTGGTAAGATAGCAGTTGAGGTAACTCTGAATATCCAAGCCTCTCTCTTGTGTGCCCAAAACCAAGTCTCATGTCTTTCTGAGAGAAATCAATGAAGTAAGCAACCAGTTTTAGAAAAATTTAAGTAACTTAAGTCTGCTACATTTTATGCAGTTCTTTATGAAGTAGGTAATATATAGACTTACAGTGTACTGAGCAATAGGAGTCTCTTGACTGTTTTTGAACATGTGAGAGATGGTTAAGACAATTGGTTTAGTGATCAAATGTAGCAGGGGAGCTTATGATTGAAAACACATTGAATGGGAAGTAAATGCTAGGTTTTGGGGTGCAAAGATAAATGAGTGGCACAATTTTCTACTCTTAAAAGTGCTTTTGTAGTGGCAAAACTAGACAGCTTCAAGGTCTACATACTACACGACTTGAAGAAAGAAAGGCTTATTGGAGCTCACGGTCTATCATGGAAGGGAGGGCATGGTGGTCTGGATGGCACTAGCAATGGCAGCAGGAGCATGAAACAGTAATATATTGCAACAAGAGTGAGGAAGCAGGGAGGGATGATGGTGGAACCTTCCCCTCCTTGTTTTCTCTCTTTCTTCTCGACAAGGACCCAATCTAATGATTACATTCATAGTATGTCTTCACTCCTGAGGAAACCTTTCTAGCCATCCCTTCCCACACCCTTAGAGGTGTATCTCCTAGGTGATTCTAAAAACAACCACCTTCAAAAAAGTCCTTAGAAGTTACAATCAAGATCCATTATCATAGGTTCACAGGTGTGCTCCATAGAGCTGTTGTCTCTGCTGCAATCACAGTTTGTGAGAGTATGACAGCGTGTGAGTAGGAATTCTATCAGTACTAATACCAATACCAATACCAATGCCAATGTCAACTCCAATGCCAATACCATTACCAGTACCAATATCACTATCAGAACCAATACCAATACCAGTACCAGTACCAGTGCAAGTATCAATACCAGTACAAGCACCAATACCAATATCTCAGGTATTTAAGTCAATTAAGCACAAACATCTCTATAGGAAAATGCTTACTTTACTACTAGCTAGGGTTTTGATCACAGTCTCCGAAGGTTAACCCATTCTGGACATGACAGAGAATTCTTGCTTATACTACTCTAGCATCATAATTAACCAACTCCAATTCAATTCTTCTCTTATCAGTCTTTCCCATTTAGACCTGTGTAGTAATTCTGGGTTTATTGGTCCTGCTGTGATGGCAGCGACTGGAGCACTGAGTGATGAACCTAAGTGACCAGAGGAGAGAAAGCTAACTTAGCTGTTCACTACATTTCCATTTGAGCTTCCATACTAGAGTTTAAAGGTCTTCCTAAAGTTGGGATGTCTCTTGAACAGGAAGCAGTTCCCAGGATATATTATTTGAATATATTATCTACAAGGACAGTATAATGGGATATCTACATATTTCATGTCACCAAGTTTTGAGGTGGATTACAATTGACAATTGAATATTGAGAACATACAGTTGCTTTGAAAATACACTTTTTAAAGAGTTGCTATTAGTAGTCTAAACAAGCAGCAGAACTCCTCTATTAGTGTTTTTAAACTTTAATTTTATTTCTTTTATTTTTGAGATTATAGTGCAATTACATAATTTCCTCTCTACAAACCTTCCAGATACATATACCCTTCCTTGCTCTCTCTCTCTCTCTCTCTCTCTCTCTCTCTCTCTCTCTCTCTCTCTCTCTCTCTCTCTCTCTCTTTCACTCTGTCTCTCTGTCTCTCTCTCTGTCTGTCTGTCTGTCTATCTCTTTTCTCTCACAATACACACACACACACATACACACACACACACACACACACACACAGGTTTCCAGGTTAAACATTTGGTATTGGATAACCAATTGGTGTGCTTTTCCATGGGGAAAGGTATTTTTCCCACTCTTAGCATTCCTCAGTTGCCTGTAGTTCCTTGTTCAGGGTTGAGGTCTTGTGATCCTCGTCTCATTCCTCTTGTCATGTCTATTGTTCCTATAACCAAGCTCCCATGATAACTGTGGTAGTTCCCACATGCTGGCAATTAGGGAACTCTAAGAATTTGTAATTATAAAAAGGCCCCCCCTTTAAAAAATTAAATTTAATTTGTGCGTGTGTTTGTATGTGTATATACATGCTTGTACATTCATGCATGTGCCTACAATCATTGACATACATGTGAAAGTCAAAGAACATCTTTTAAGAATTGGTTCTTTCATTCTGCTTGGTCAAGGCAGGATCATTCTCATTTCCTCTGATTTGCTATGTACTTTAGGCTATTTGGCCAGTAAGTTTCTGGCTTGTAGGAATGCTGAAGTATAGACTGGACCATACATC